ACTGACATCAATTGTAGAGAAAATGCACTTACGGAAATTTAGACTTTACAATATATGTTGTACTGGCAGACTAATCAGTAAGACAAAAATAGCTATTTTGTTTTAATATTAACAGTGGAATGCAGACTGGATTTTTTTCCTTCCTTATTCAGTTAGACAATGTCAGAACCAGGACATAATTTGCTGGACAAAGAAACTGTGGATTGTGACAGATATGTCTGCAGAAAAGAGCTTCACCATCCTCTTAGTCTTTATAGGTTCAAGCCAAGGAAAGGCGCACGACAAATAACAGTACCTATGAAAAAAGCTCAGGATAGGGTCAGGATAACACTATTTTGAAGTTAGATTTTTTACCATTAAGCCAAAACTCAGAATTTCAAACCTCCTGTTCTGCAGAAAGCCCTGTCATTTGTTAACAGTTGAATAGTGATTCACCCATTGCAAATAAGTCTACATAGAGATACTGAAAAATGCAATACTCTCTTCAGAGACTTCATAACAGCTGCTATGTTTTTATCTGCTGAAAGCTAAAACCCTTACCAAAATTAGCCCACTTCTCCAAATGGAAAATGTGATATTGGGTAAGTAGGATCAATTCTGTAAGCACTGAGTACCTCTACCCACACTTTCAGTATCTTGTTACAACAACCCTTAAGTTGGTCACTGTATATTCTCACAAAAAAAACAACCAACAAACCAAACGAAACACAACCTGAAAATGTTCTAGCCTTGTTTCTTTAGGAAGCAAGGCTTGCATGACCACATGTGGCTGTCCAGGCACCTAATCAGCATTTCTCACTATCCTCATAACTTTGCATCTGTTGGAATATTTCAACCAAATTTGGTAATAAAGGCAGAGTCTCAAAGGAATTAAACTCCTGTTCAATTCCTAAGTTTCATGAAACTGAGCAGTGGGCAGAAATTCAGTGTGCCCTTGGAGCAAGAAGTAATTCAGTGCATTGCAATGGGCCAGATGTAATCCAACTCCACTCACCAGCTGCAGGTACCTGCCAAGTCACCCCAGCCATTTGTGGCACACCACGTGTGGCTGGGATGCAGCGACCAAGGTGAGAAATTACCAAGGTGACAGACCTGGGAATAAGATGGTGGCAATGGAAAGCAGAAAACAGTCAGGCACCACACCTCATTAGTATTAGTTCTACTGCTTGTGGCCCAGCTTTATTAATAACAAATACATACAAGTCTCAGAGTGTAGGTCTGAGGCATAAAAGCACAACAGCAATCACTGTATGCCTACTAGAATTCAAACGAAGTAGGGTAATTTAAATATCTGACACCATATTTAACATAATCTTTGTGAAATAACTTGCTTTATCTTCTGACGTGTAATTTTCCTTGTGATTAAATGGCAATACATGCACTAAAACTTACATCACTTCTGTCACACAGAATTGTGTTTGTATTATCAACTGTACATAAGCAATAGAGTAAAAGGTTGACTTAGGAAGAGAGATTCCATTGTGCAATGCCAGGAAGCACTTCATTTTCAAAATAGGTCCTCATTTCACTGTCAACTGATCATCATGGAACAAAAGCTACAAAAGCTTTTGTGTAGTTTCGTAAGTGGAGTCCATACAGAACAAGACAGCTCAACCTGAGATATCTGGGCAACTAGTATGATCTCTGTAGTGCACAGTGATAATTTCTCCTCCAAGAACCCATGGCAGGGAAGGTACAAGAAAGGCATACAGGGAATACAATCTTTTCTAATGCAGACATGAAACACCTCTGCCTAATTCATTCCCTTCTCTCAAATGCCAAAGGGCCAGCTGCCTGCCAAACACGAACTGATGACAGGGCAGGGATAGAGTTGAGTGTGGATTCCCAGGACAAAGCCCAAAGCAGCAGCAAGAGGAGCCAGCTGTAAAGCTGACCTGCGGTAGGAAAGCTCTCTAGGGAGAGAACAGCACTGGGTAGTGATGGTTGATTATAATATGTAAGGTGGGAACTAATTTTGGACTTAATAGCCTGTGTGCTCAAACCAGCCTGAAGACTGTCTAGCACAACCCTATTAATGTGTTCACACTATTAAATACACTTCTGTTACTGAAGCTCAGCCTGTGTACTGGAGCCCAGCATTTCACCTTCAGCTCAGGAGAGATGTGGAGTGTTCCACAAGCATGCATGAACAAGTAACCAGTAGTTAGCTCTACTTTGAGCATAGGCTGGACTCAATGTTCTCCTAAGGCACCTCCTAACCTGAATTACTGCATGGTTCTACATGTTATCAGTATGCAACAAGCCTACCTTCAGAATATGTGTTCTATAATGATGGATTTACTAGAACAGAAGAAACAGCTTTGAGGCTTCAGTTCCCTCCTCCACCATTACCTCCACCCACCATGCCAGTAACATACCCTTTTCTTGTATAAACCATGATTTGTTTCCCACTCCTTGGCTTGCTGCATCTGATTTACTGAGCCAAACAGGAGGCATGGCATGCCCAAGTTGCACAGACCAGGGAGATCAGGGAGCTGCAGTGCTGCAGAGAGGTGAGAGGAAGGAATTCACATTTTTGTCAACCTGAAGCCATACACTGGAGGCCCACTCTTACTCTGGGACTCAAGACAAGGGCATACCTCAAAGCATGATCTGATGAGGGACACATGATCTACATCTGAGAATCACCCCTGCTTCTCTTCCTTTTGCATCAGGACTGCATCTGTGCTTGGTTGAGTGAAAAAGATACAGAACACATCCTGTCTAAAAGTATGAAACTTTTGGACATGAAAAAACGAACAGTTTGAGACTTTTTTTTACAGCTATAAAAAAACACACATGTAATTTTAATGCAGCTCTCCCTTTTGTTTCAGTGGTTTAATACCTTTATACAAAAGTAAAGCAGAAACTGTCATGCTCATTTCTTGCCTAATTGCTGTATGACATCTGCTAACCCTACAGTAGCTAAGCACTCCTTTTGTCAAAGGAGTCCTGTCCATTGCACAGGTGACCCTTTTCAGTATGTCATTACTGGCTCCCTTTTGAAAAATACTGTAGCAGTCATATTTGACCCTCATACAGAAGAGTGCTGCTAACCCAACTGATTTTCTTATAAAGCCTGTATTTTTCTTAAATCCACTGCTGCTGAAACTGTCAGAGATCCATTTCCCCTTAGGAAGTTTTCTACAACAGGTGCCTGCACCAAGGTTACTCACTCAGCTACTTTCAGTGCAGGGAGTACAAGTGCCTCCAGTAAGAAAGTTCCTTTATAGCAATGGGAACACCATGTCCAAGTCAACTCCCGTTCCAGAAGACTGCAGGAAAATGCCTGACCTTTTAATTTGAAAAAAAAAAAAAAAAAAAGATTGGAAAGATGGAGAATATGGAATAGCGTCTGCATGAAAAGTAAAACTTCCAAATTTTTACTTAAAAAAGCAGTTCTCTACAACCATCAGAAATTATGCTGGAAAATCCTTAGCTACACCCTGAATCTTATCAATGGGCTGACAAAAAGCCAGCTTATGACAGAAAATAATGTATGAATTAGATGTCCTATCCACTGGTAGGGCATTTTCACATTTTCAGTGCTCTAGACTGCCAAGATATGTGTGGTAGAAACCACATATGGTAGAGTTGTGAGCAAGCCAGAAAAATGGGGCTTTAAGGAAAACTACAAACACAGACTAGCGGGTGGTATCTGGAATGTACATAAACATGGCAAAATGCACTCAAGGAAAGTGTAGAAAGCAAAAACAGGGTGGAAGCAAATGTCTGAGTGTATCAACCCCCCCCCCAAAAAAAAAAAAGAAGGAAAGAAAAAGAACAGGTGAATTGAAACAAAAAGTGGGTGTGAACATGCATGTGAGGAGCTACACACAGTTGAAGGTACTTGAGGAAGAGGCAGGAAGAGGGCTGAAACAAGCAGCCAGCACAAAACAGAGAGAAGCCAGCCACAACTTTAGAAAGGTCCTTCCATGTCCAAAGGACAGAGCTTTGGCTCTTGCTTTGCTGCTGGGCCAGCTGCTGGCTACCAGCTGCAGCCTCCAGCAAGCAGCTCCCACTTTCCTTTGCAAAGGCCCTTGTTTATGGAGGCTGTATCTCCAGGGAAAGTACCAGAGACCACCAGGTGACCACAAGTCAAGCATCTCTGATAAATCCACCTACACTGCACAAGTTCACATCATAAGGGGAAGATTTGACTACTGTTTATTTGTATCATGTAAGTGATGCTCTTAGTATCTGCTTCAAGATTGTCCTTTTCTGTTTGTTTTCCTTTTTTTTTTTTTAAGTGGGAATTTATTCAGTGGCCTAAATTTTCTGCTCCTCACAGGCTCTGCTTGGCTTCCACATGACAGAAAGTGGCCAAAAGTGGACTGGTTCCATTGCTGGTCTTTTGAGGACTTGCTAGCTTTCCATGTAAACTGGCCTCAGGCTGCCCTCGTTTGGACTTGGCTACATCATCCTTCATATTTGGCCATAGCATCATCCCTCGAGGGGCTGTTCCACGGCCAGGAATAACTCAGCAGACCTCTGGCCACTCTTCTTAGCCCTGGCTCTCCCCTGTAGGCCCTGCACTCAACCCTGACCCAAATATTCCATGGCGGGGGACTATGAAAACCCCAATAAACCCCTTTGCCTGAGGGATCTTCAGACGGGTCGGGCGAAGGCGCTGCAGCGCCTTCAATGCGGGAAGGAGGAACCCCGGGCAGGACGAGTCAGAACCGGGCCGGCCGCCCCCGTGGCTCGGCTTGGCCGTCTGGAAGCCCTGATCAGCCCCACCAGTGCCTCCACACTTAAGCGGCGCTCGCTGAGGGCAGGTGGGGCACTGAGGCGGCAGCGGCGGCCGCTCCGCTCTGCTCCGCCTCGGGGTGGAAGAGAGAGGCAGCGGCCGCGCTGTGGCAGACCTGTCCCCGGCACCACGGCGGGGCACCCACCAGCCTCCCCCCACCTCCGCTCCTTGAGGCTCGGCAGGTCCGTCCCTCCCACCGCCCCTCACGGGCACCGCCGGCGGGGCGCTCGTTTCCCGCCTTCCCGCTCCCTCCCGCCTCTCCCGCCGCGCTCCCTCCGCCCCGCTCCCCCGCCCCCTCCTCCGGCAGCTCCCCGCTCGCTGGCTCCTTCCTCGCCTGCCTCCCGCGGCTCCCCGCTGCGCAGAGCGCCGCGCCGGCGGGGTTATGGAGAGCCAGCGCTGCTTCGCCAACCGCTTCGATGACTACCCGGGCAGCCCGGAGGCGGCGCCGGGCAAGGAGGCGGCGGCGGTGCCGCTAGTGACGGCCACCATCGAACGGATCCTGCGGGAGCTGCCGCCCCTGGGCGGCCCCCGCGGCTGCCAGGGCGGGCTGTACGGCGGCGTGGCCGGCGTGGCCTACATGCTGTACCACGTCGCGCAGTGCCCTCTGTTCGCGCCGTCGCGGGAGGCCTACCTGCGGGCGGCTCGCCGCGTCGTGGACGCCTGCCTGCGCTACCAGGAGGGCAGCGGCGAGGCCGACGCTGACACCCGCGCCGCCTTCCTGCTGGGGGGCGCCGGGGTGTACGCGGTGGCGGCACTGGTCTACAGAGCTCTGGGGCTGCCCGACTTCGCCCGGCCGCTGGGCAAGTTCCGGGAGCTCAGCGAGGTCTGCGCTCCGCTCTCCTTCCTCGAGTGCGGCTCGGACGAGCTCTTCGTCGGCCGCGCCGGGTACTTGTGCGCCGCCTTGGTGCTGAAGCAGCGGCTGGGCATGGAGGTAAGGGCGCGGGGCGCGACGCCCCCCCCCCGGGGGGACCGGCCTCGCCGTCGGGGCTGTCGGTAGATCTAGGAGCTGGGACGCCGGCGGCCCGCCCCGCGTTGCCGCCGGGATGATCTCGCCTCTGCTCCGCGGTAAAGGGGAATCCACCTGTGCCGGTGCTCTCAACATCAACACCAGCAGAAAAGCGCCTTCTCCAGCTTGCACTTCGGGGGCAGGCTTCAGGAAGAGCCCCGGGTGGGGGAGCTTTCTCTAGCAGCAGCGCTCCTACCCTGAAATAAAAATTCATCTTTTGCAAGAGGGAGCGAGGGGTGCGGGACGCGGTCCCGCTGAGTCGGGCAGGGCGCAGGGCGCTGTATCCCTCTCCATCCCTCTCCAGGTCGCTTCCCGGGGAGCGCTGAGAGCATCAGCTCTTGGTTGCCAGATGGTGAACTACTTGGCAGGAGCCACCCCGGGCTTTTCAAGAATAATTTCTGTAAAATGAAGTGGGTGAGAAAAGGAATACTGTTGGGTAAAACAGAGTAAGAGATCTCATAATAATAAGTAGTACTATGCTTTAATTTGCAAGAATACAGATTTTGAGAAGCATTTGGTTTTACTAACCTCAGCATACAGAATCTGGTAGTCTTCTGGAAAGCTGGCCATATATTGTGGTGCTTTTCATGAATAAGAGCTGGGTTGGGTTTTTTCTAGAAGCATGAGATGTGATTATGGTTCGACGTGCTGGCGGTTTCAGCCGGGACTTTACCCTAGGATATTGTGATTGTCAGTGCTGACAATTCAGAGCTTCCACTGACTACAGCATAATAATTAATGCAACTGATTCTGTTTGCTGTGGTGTTTGTTACTATGTGGTCACTGCAGTATCTGAGCAGGCATTTGTTACATTTTTGTTCCTGTCCTCTTGTCAGGTCCAATCTGTGTTTCCTCTGTTAATCCCTGATTTGCAAGTTCACATGCTTCTGGCTTTCTTTCCTTCTGGGAGAAGAAGCAACTATTACAAGTAAATGATGTAAAAACAAGCGCCTCTGCCCCATCCAATACCAGTAACTGCAGTCAGAGTCCATGGAACCGCTGAATGTTTTGATTCCCTTAAACAAAATTTCTTACAGCACTAAGTGTTTAAAGTAGCATACCATAGGTGCTGTTTCTTTGTATAGGACTGTATTTTATTTGTATTTTATTTTTATGTATTTGCATTTGTATTTATTTATTTGTATTGTAACCTATGCCAGGTTAGATGGGGCTTTCAGCAACCTGATCTAGTGGAAGGTGTGCCTGCCTATGGCAGGGGGCTGGAACGAGATGACCTTTAAGGTCGCTTGCAACCCAAACAGTTCTTTGGTTCTATGATTGTCTGAAAATTATAACCATGGTTATGTTGTTTGTAACCATAACATAACCAAACTTTCCATTCTGACAGCATTTTATATGAGAGGCAAGTTTGTAGATGTATCACCATCCTATATGCAGAGTGCAGCAGTGTCAACCTGAGGGGATGGTTCCCCACAGAGGAATAAGCCATACCTATTAGTTCAGTTTGCATTGGGGGAGCATGTCTAGTGCCCATATGGGGTGCTTATGGTAACGTTGTGACATACCAGCTGAATAAGGAGGCACCCTGGCCTCTGCTGCTTCATTTAATTCCTTCATCCATGTCTTATGTCCTTGAGAGCAATTGCTGAACAGTTTGGAGAGTAGGTGCAATCACCTCTGACACTGTGAGGAAGGGAAAAGCTCTCTTCTCTGCTTGTTTGCTTCTGGAAAAATCATCCTTTATGCAGCGTAAAGAGTTAAACAGCCCCACAGATGAGCGCACATATACACTTGTGGAATGCATTTAGCAGGTGGGCTAACTACAATGATAGAGGGGTTTATTTTACCAGTAAAACATATTCTCTGCCCCCTTGGTGATGTTTTAATCGGTAAGCTAACATCCTTCCACAGTGTTATTTATTCTGTCACCACATTGTAATTTTAAATATATAGTGCAAGAAAGACTCTAAACTGTTAAGTATTGCTAAAACCCATTTTTATTTTTTGTTTTAACAACAATTAGAACTTTTAATTAAAATATTTTGCTCCTTAATGAAGAAAATTATAATGATTTCTAGTCTGTATGTACTTATGCTTGAGCAAAATTTGGGTCCTTTGATAAATGTTCCCATCCTAATACAGAATTATCTTAATTAGTACATTTCCAGACCCGACCATGCATCTTTTTTACAAATAAAAAAAGGGATGCCCAGAGAGTGCATGTCATTTATTACTCAAGGTCAAGTGGTAAGCCAGGTACATCCCAGAATAGAAGCAATGCCTTGTGATTCGAACCACTAGAAAATGCTACCTCCTGTAATTTGATTGTGCTCCATCTCACATGGCTCACTGCAGCATGTTTTCTTGTTTCCCACGTTCTTTTGGGGTTTGGGGATTTTGTTTTTTGAGGATGCTGTGCAAACATTTCCAGCACAAAGTGAAATCCATTCCTTACATTAAAACACAGCCGCTGCTGCCCATATGGTTGTTTTTTTCCTCTGAAGAAGTCAAATGGTGACCTATATACAAGAAATGGTTTGCCCTTGAAGAAAGGCTTTTTGAGCAATTTTTACAGCTTGTGTTGCGGGTTTGGTTTTTGGTTTTTTTTCGGGCAGGGAAGGAAGGAATTGGTGTTCAGTAAACACCAATTTAGCTCAGCTGCTCTGTACTGATGCTTCAGTTTCTTGCTAAAGAGTCTCGGTGTTTTAAAGCATTGCATGTTCTTCAGAAAGTTAATGGACTGTCCTGAAGGATCCAGTCTATTGTATAACACTGACCTCGTGTGAAGAAGACATTTGCATTTAGCTGGTGTTCAATTTTAGGCTAATACAGCATTTTTCCCTGATTAATTAATTCTGAGTTTTTGCATGAATAAGGATTACTTCAGCAGTTGAGGCTTAACAGGATCTGACTTTCATGATGCACTACACATTAGGAGAGATGCTTTCCATTGTTTAATTTCTTTAATTTTCATTACACTGTAGTCAATGCTTCCCAGGCAGAAATGGGTAAAATACTGGTTTTGCAGAAGCAATGTGTTATTTGTCTAAGGTACGTATGAATAAGGTGCATGCTTTTTAGCTGCCCTTAACTGCTGTGTTTTCACTGTTCAGGGGAAATTTTATTTCTGTTCTGCCAAAGAGGGTACCTCTTTTTCTGATGCTTGTATGTTGATTCATTATGTGTTCTTGTGAAAATCGCTCAGTCCTGCTTTTAATTCTTTTTACTCAGTCTTTATTTTACTGTTTGTGCAAACAGTAGTAAGACACCATTAAAATGATGGTCCAGTCCCCCCATGTTATTTTATCCTCCCCTCATTTTTAATCAGTGGAGTTTCTGTCCCATTTCGTGGTGGATGGAGCATGGTGTGTCTCAGTAGTTGTGTTTCCTCCTGGCAATGTAGCTGTCAGATGACCGAGGACAAGGTGCGGAAGTTCAGGTGGATTCTTGCATCACCATCTGCTGAGATGGTACTGCCTTTTAGCACAGCTCAGGTTTTCTTTTAATGACTGACTGAACCGATGGGGTTGACTGACTTCCACTAGCCTTGAGTTGCAGTGATGGATAGCAGCATACCACAGAGGAGGCAGGGCAGCATTTTGCAATACTGCCTGATGCTGTGGTTTCATTAGAGACTGTAGTTTTGAAAGACACTGGGGACACCGTTAGGAGATCCTGGCCTGCAGTTGCAGAGATGATGAGCTGAAGCAGCACACTTTTCCAGCAACACAGCCACAACAGTTCCCTTGGGGCTGACCCACTGAGGTGAGTCTTGAGTGTCTGCAGAGACCTTAAGCTCTTCCAGTTACTATATGGTTAAGATTTATGTCTCTGTGGCAGAGGGGCATCTCAATTTCCTTTTGCAACCAATGCAGTGTCATGATTTGTTGTGTGTTTCCTAGATTGTTGTACTGTCTCGGGGAGGGCATAGTTATGTTGTTAGTCTGTTGTGGGACACGTAGGAAGGGCAGTGGTCTTTCCAGCAGGACTACACTGAGTGTAGTGCCCTGCTAAAAACCATACTTTCCCTGGATGCTGTCTATCAAGAGAGCCTCTTTTGGACCTCACAAGATTGCAAATCAAGCTGATCAACTTTACCTGATGCATGGAAAACACAAATAGCACTGCTGTGTAGTGTGTGGGATCTTGGTGCCACAGCAAGGGAAATGTGAGGCAGAACTGGCTTTAAAAGGCAGTGGAACAGGCTGATGGGCAGTGTATGGAAATGACAGGTCCAGCCAGTAAATTTCACAATATTCTGGGAGAGAGGATGCAAATGAATTAAAATTATCTTTCAGCTCCTCAAACAGTTCTAGATGATATTACTTGTTCCTTAGATCCCTCCAGCTAATGTTTTAAAAGACTGTTGTAGGAAACTTTGCTCCAAATTTTGAAATTCTCTTTTTTGGGGGGTGTAGGGTTTGGGTTTTTTTTTTACCTCTTAGAAAAGAATTCAGAAAGTGTGAGAGGAAGGAGCTTCATAAATCCTGCCTAGAACATGTTCATTTGCAAATCATTAAAGTAGAATGTAAATGTATTAATGCTGAACATAGTGCTTATGACAGACACTTGATGGAGTGATCTTAGAAAGGGAGATCTAAAAAATATCCACAGAAGAGATGAACCTCCAAGTGCTGTAGCACAGAGTCCCCATGTTAGGCTTTTAATCTCACCTGTGCCTGAAAGGGGAGGGTTGTCCTTTGAGGTGAGATTTTGTTCCTTCTCTGTGCCCAGTACAGTCGTTTCCCCCTGTGGAAAAATTAGCCATCTCATCTGAAACATTGTGGTGTTTGAAATGTCAGATATCATGGTGCTAGCTGGAGCTGTACTGATTTCATGATTTCATTTTACACAGGCCACTGCACAGCCAGGCTGTTGCGGTTTTTTGCCACAGAGAAGTAAAATAAGGTAACAGTAAAGATAAATGGCTTTTGATCCTAGCCTGCCTCTTTTAAATGTACCTT